TGTATTGCTGTGTCCCAAATCGGGTGCAGTAATTGAGTTAGACGGGCACCACTGACAACTCCGCGGTGCTGAATGGGGAGGGGGGTGAAATGAAACAAGCAACCTCAAGTTGCGGGCAACAATGATTCAAATTTAGCAGTGTCAAAGTCTGTAAAATTGTGACTAAAATGTAGTTTTATGCCCACCAGAATGGCAAAGTTAAGTTGGCCAAAACTGCAAGTCCACGTTCAATTTGGAGTGCAACAGTAATAACAATGTTTTGTTGTACAGTTTAAATGAGCAACAACAACAATTTACAAAAACTCAATAATTTAAAATTTTTAAAAATTTTATACAAAATTCAAGTTATGTTTCACATTACACTTTGACTTGACAGTAAACAAAAAAGTAAAACATTTTAAAATTTGTTAATTTTTTTCAAAATTATTTTTTAAAAAAAATTAAACTTTAAAAAATATTAGATTAGAAAAACGGCGCTTCAAGCCATTTTGTAGCGGCTATTTTTCTGATTACTCTAGTCAAAACCCTATGTTTCTAGATTCAGTAACTTTTTTTATACAGCTAAAAATGTTTTTGACTAAAAACAGATAATCCGCCATATTAAATACTCCCGATTATCTGATCAACTTGAAATTAGTATCATTAGAAAGATGCCTTTCAGCTTGATCTACTGGTGAAAACCGTATTTGAATAGCATCAATAGCTTTTTTTCTAGAATAAAAAAGTGAGTGAGGGATTTACAAATTTATTTCAAATGTATTTCAGCGGTTAAAAATTGTATTTAGCATTACATAAATTAGTACAGTTTGATTGAAAACAGACTTGTACATTTTAGCGATTATGATACAAAAAAGAGTATTGTTGTTGTTGTTGTTTGGCACTTGGACATTTCCTGGACACTTTTTTATGAACCCACACCTAACCAAATATTTTAATCAGCCCTTTTNAATTTATTTCAAATGTATTTCAGCGGTTAAAAATTGTATTTAGCATTACATAAATTAGTACAGTTTGATTGAAAACAGACTTGTACATTTTAGCGATTATGATACAAAAAAGAGTATTGTTGTTGTTGTTGTTTGGCACTTGGACATTTCCTGGACACTTTTTTATGAACCCACACCTAACCAAATATTTTAATCAGCCCTTTTACTCCACTACTGTAACTTGTGAAATGTGACAAAATCATCGTTGATTACGGCACTTTGCTCTTCTAGAGACGGCTCCATCTCCCCGATCACCAACTGCCCCAACTGCTTTGATCGGCTGTAGTCTCTGCTGATGAAGGGCCCTCGAATGCCCATCTCGTGGCGAACCACAATGTCGGCGCAATTCCGGTACGTTTCCTGTGGTCCACAGCCAATGCCTGCGTTGCCATTCTCGCACACGCCCCAGTTGTTTGCTAGAAACAAAAAAACGTCATTTCAATTTTGATTTTTGACACGTCTGTTGTGGAGGGGCAAACGCCGCTTTTGTTTTGAAATTCTGTTTTCAGTTTTTCTTTCATCAACGCAAATGATTTGCTTTTGAAGAAGTGCCCGAGATCTTGTGGTTATCTAAAGTCCATCTTTACTTCACCGATCGCCGGTGAAAACCCAAAGGTATGTACGTTTTTAAATGTTACCTGATTTCCAATGCCACCGCAGAATGCACCTGTCGCACGAGACTTCTTTGGGTAGCTGCACCGGTAGATTGAAAGCGCCCTTTCGGTGCGTCTTTAGGCGATACACCTCCTCCCCCTTAACCGTAAGCGGAATGAAGCACTCTTCAGTTTCTGCAAAGCAGTTCAAGCAGTTTAAAATCAACTCTAAATCAACTCAAAACCAAATTGTCTTTACCTATTTCGTCGACGCTGTTCCGCGGACAGAGACTGAACTGGAAGGTGCCCAGGTGGTTCGCCACCAGTTGAATGACCACGTCAATCACTCCGCCGGGCGGGTACACCCGAGTGGTAATGTTGCGCACCAGTTTGCCGCCGGTTTCGTACGGTCGAGGCCGTCGGACGCTGTACGAGTCGCCGCAAATTCCGCACTTTCCCTTGTTGATCTTCCATTGATTCTTTAGCAGAAAAGAAAGTTGCACCATTATCATCGGATCAATTTGCTTCCTGTCAATTAGGGCACACTCACCACAATTCCGCCACAAAACAGCTCACTGTCTTCGTAGTTTGGCGTCGTGTTGAAGCCCACCCGCCACATGGCATTTCGGGCTGGCGGCTCTATCATTCGGCCATGTTGCTCTGACAGCTCAACCAGGAAGACCAGCAGAACCAGCATTGACGCTNATCACTCCGCCGGGCGGGTACACCCGAGTGGTAATGTTGCGCACCAGTTTCCCCCCAGTTTCGTACGGTCGAGGCCGTCGGACGCTGTACGAGTCGCCGCAAATTCCGCACTTTCCCTTGTTGATCTTCCATTGATTCTTTGACGGACAAAAGAAAGTTGCACACGATTATCATCGGATCAATTTGCTTCCTGTAATAAGGGCACACTCACCAC